GAGAATCCTCTTAAAGGAACGCCCAAGAAGGGTACCCCTATCTTCGGAAACCCCCAGATGGAAAAAGACCTGGTCGTCACCAAGTTGGCACCCTGCCAAGCCTCCAGCATCGTTTCGGGCTGTGGCATTGCGAATGGAAATGTTGCCCCCGGAGAGGTGGAAGAAACCAGTTGGGATCTGAATGGCACCTGGAGCAACATGCCACAGCCCGGCTGTGTAATCGTCATCTTGCACTGTTCAGAATCGAGATTAAGACTCAAGAAACTGGCTTCTGCAAACAAACAAGCCAACAAACAAACAAATAAACGAACAAACTCTAGCAAGCAAGCAAGCAAACAAAGAGACGGATGTGCCGATAATTCCACAGTGGAGCTGAAGATGTACTGACATGAACAGCTTGACATGTCTGAAAAAAGTCTCGCCGTCATGGATTTGATTTGAAGATGCTTGAAAACTGCCTCCGCAAATGTTCAATTTTGCAGGTACGGTTGTTGAACATGCTTGAACCGATCCACTGACCGCGTCAAGTCGACAGACCCGAAGCCCCAGCAGTCACTAGCAAGCACCAGCAATGACAATGACTACACCCGCTCAAGCTGCCACCACACAATCACAGGAGTCACATTACACTGTCATTGCAGATCGTTTCTTCCAGGACCTTGCACACCAACACAAGAACGCATGGCCAATAGAGCTCATGATCCTTCAATGAACCCTCGATGCCTGCTGAACCGCGTGCTTCGGTGTGGCGAACTGAGAGGTGGCCCCCAGAAGCCTCCGTTTAGGGTTAAGGGGTGAGGGGTTTAGGGTTTAGGGTTTAGGGTTTAGGGTTTAGGATTTAGGGTTTAGGGACATGTCGTGAAGGGAAGGCTCCACTTGGTGTTGGAGAACTCAAGTCCCTTCTGCAAGGCCTGGGACTTGAACAAGTTCCCCTATTTTCCCTCAATGTGGCCCCCCTTATACTGACAGTCTTTCATGAGGATTGTAGTACCCCCTACTACATTCCCCGTTACGGACTGATAGTATAAGGGGGAACATCCCAACCATCCAACCCCCCTTGTTGCAGCAGCAATCGAAACTATGACCCGCCTGGAAGGAGCCCATTTCGCTGATGAAGAGGGCACCTGCTCTGTTCGGGGAACAGCTCCAAAAAGGGTAAGAAACCACGTCATTTTTAAGACTTCTTCCTGTGGGGTTCAAGGTTTAGGGTATAGGAGGGGTGACTATATGGTGGGGCCCCGTAGTATTCCTGGGGACTTGGTTTGGTAACATCCAGAATGGGAGAATGAAGGTGCAATGAGTGCGCTACACCGTGTCTAATTCGGAGTGCTAGTCGACCGGCTGCTAATGCCCTCACGCAGGTTACAGAATGCATTTTCTTTCTGTTTTGCATTACCATTAAGATTCACGCGTTATGATAATCAAAGCCCACATGCACAGGATTCGCGCGCCAGAACAACAAGCCCCGAGAGATGACCTGGCATGCGATTTCAAGGGTGTGAGGGTTTAGAGTGTCGGGTTTGGGGTTTAGGGTTTAGGGTGTAGGGTACGGTTAAGGCCGGAGAATTAAAATAGGGTGTTTTGTTTTTTTTTGGGAGTGTTTCTTGTTTTTTGCTTTAGGGTTTAGGGTTTAGGGTCTAGGGTCTGGGGTCTAGGGTCTAGGGTCTAGGGTTTAGGGTTTAGGGTTTAGGGTTTAGGGTTTAGGGAAAAAGGGTTTAGGGTTTAGGGTTTAGGGTCTAGGGTCTAGGGTGTAGGGTTTAGGGTTTAGGGTTGAGGGTTTAGGGTTTAGGGTCTAGGGTCTAGGGTCTAGGGTCTAGGGTCTAGGGTCTAGGGTCTAGGGTCTAGGGTCTAGGGTCTAGGGTCTAGGGTTTAGGGTTTAGGGTTTTGGGTTTAGAGTTTAGGGTTTAGGGTTTAGGGTTTAGGGTTTAGGGTTTAGGGTTTAGGGATGTTTAGGGTTTACCAGTAGCAAGGACAAAAACAAAAAAAAAACAAAAAGAAACCAAAAAACAACTTAACAAAATAGACCTCCTACGGTGAGGTCTGGGTCCAAACGGCGAGCTGTTAGAAGATGTTAGAAGGTTTAGGGATTAGGACTTAGGGTGTAGGGTACGGTTAGTCCGAGTCCCAACGGCGAGCTGTTAGAACGAGCTGTTTCGCTTGCTACAAGCAAGATAACAAACAGAGACATCTTGTTTGGAGTTGGCAGGTGGCGGCAACAATGTGCGATGTGCACGTGCGCCGGGTGCCCCAGTAAAATGGAAGAACAATGATGTGGAGAAAGCCAAAACACGGATTCTGCAGAACTTGTTTTCAAATTGCGCAGTCTTTGATTGCTTCCACAAGCATGGCTTTGCAAAGCTCCGCCAAAAGAAGTCCCAACCGAGGCCTTCGGCGCTAGCGCGTTGCGTTGACCAACAGCATGAAACCGATTGCTACGCTTCAGCCAACTTCCCTGGCCAAGCTTGAAGGAGAACCCAGGCAAAGCCCCACTTTGGATCCCAAGCCCTGCGCCTCCGTTTGCCTGGACCGTAGCCTGCTCAATCTCAACGTGCCCACCGGATAGGTTGAAGCCGCCACCTGATATCGCAATCGCACCTCGCATCTCACAGGTTGAGCAGTTCTGATGCTAAGGGTTTCACGTCACGTGTCTCAATGTGAGATCCGATTGCTCTCACTTGCACTGAAAACCCTGCTGCAAACCCCCACAGACATGGCCTCCGAACGATTCGGCCGCGCACCACTTGCTGCTGAAGAGGCCACCAGAGAAATTGATGCCATCCTCAACCGAAAGCGCACCTGCCAGACAACAGTACGACATAGCTCGCCTCAAACTCAACACCCTTCAGAACCCCTCACTCCCGCCATCTTCTACTACTACCGCATCTTGAGCTCCCTCCCATGCCTCCTCTACCATCTAGAGTAGCAATCGACCCTGAGTAATTCAGACGACCGAGTCCCGCTGCATCTTCCAGTGAGGACCGAAGAACTATGATGGCCTGAATCCAGGTCCACAAAGCCCCAACCAGGCCCACAAGGCCTCCGCGATATTCTGCATCGCACCACTTGCTGCTGAAGATGCCACCGGAGAAGTTGAGCCCACCTTTCACCGCCAGCGCACCTGTCAGACAGAGCATCTCAATTTCCTCACAGTACGAGAATGAAGCCCCTTGTGGCATTCTGAGTTTGAAACTTCTTGTAGCATTCTGAGTTCTTTAGGGCGAAAAATCGCTGGTTTCGAGGATTCTCGCGCCTAGCTGACTTGACTAGCTGGGGGCGGACCACTCTGCAGTCTCTATCTCTCGCTCACTCTCTCTCTCTCTCTCTCTCTCTTTTTCTTTCTAGGGGGCGTGGGGGCAAGCCCCCTGGCTTCGCGCCAGCCCCGGCATTCGGGACCCTCCGAGTTGCCCGGAGAAAAGCGTGTCGTATGAGCACGGCGCTTTTATCCCCTCTTTCCCACTCTCCCTCTCTCTCTCTCTCTCTCTCTCTGCTTCCTCTTCCTCTTCCTATTCCTGTCCCTTCCCCTTCCCAAGCCTCCTTCCTCATCTTTCTCTTCCTCATTCTCTTACTCTTCGTTACGCCTAATGACTCGTGAGAACTCCTAATTGCACTTAATTCCTCTTGGTTACTCTTAATCACCCTCAATTCCTCTTGCTTACTCTGAGTTACTGCTAACTGCTCTGAACTACTTTTAAGTACTTTTCCTTGCTCTTACTAACTCTTCCTTACTCGCAATTGCTCTTACTCTTCTTCTAAGCCGAAGCTCTTCCCCCCCACTTTCTTCGGGGTCATCCTCGTTCTGCGCTTCTGGGCCTTTAAGGGCCCTCCCTCACAAAGCAGATGGCTCACAGCGGCAGCGCAGCAAGTGCTGCTGCGCTGCCCTTCCCACTCAACCTGAGGCCCATCTTCTGCTTGTGCTTCCGGGTTTAGGGTTTAGGGTTTAGGGTTTAGGGTTTAGGGTTTAGGGTTTAGGGTTTAGGGTTTAGGGTTTAGGGTTTAGGGTTTAGGGTTTAGGGTTTAGGGTTTAGGGTTTAGGGTCTAGGTGCCCCTTAGAGGCCACGAGGTGTTTTTCCTTCGGCTCGTGACCCACGTTGCTGCCGTTCGGCTTTTTAAGCTTGAGAACTCCTGTTGCCAAATCCACGCACGCACACACACTCTTTGGGCCCAGGATATACGCACACACTCACGTTCTTGTCATACTTCTGCTGGTACTCATTCTTATACTTGTGTCTTCTTCATTTTATGCACTCATTCTTCACATGTGTTTACTTGCTTTTCTTCTTTCTCATGTTTCTTTCCATTTACATGTGCACTCATGTTTCTCAGGGAACCTTTTTCTAACATCTGTGTTCTTTTACGCCCAAGCCCAAACCCAATGCCCGCAGGCGGTTTAAGGTTGGATTCTGCGCTTGCAGGCGTCTTGGCTTTAGGGTTTAGGGTTTGGGTGGGCTGGCAGCTGAACTTCGCCCTGAACCTCAACCGCCGAATCTTCGCAGTCTTGCGTGGGCTTCAACCCAGAAGACTCTCAACCTTTTTTAGGGCCCTGCGGCCCTGCGCCTAAACCCTCACTTTGAAAATCATTTCTGAATAGGTCCCCTGAGAAGGAAAGAAGAGAAACTAAAAGCTATTTCAAAAGCACAACCCAGAACTTTGGGAACCCTAAACCCTAAACCCCAAACCCTAAACCCTACTTTAGGCCTCCGCTTTCTGCGGAGCAGCCCTCGACCAGCAGTTGGCCACCGCGAAAGTGGGCGCCATCGGCTGCGTGCACGGCGCCTCACACCGCCAAGCATGAAGAAACCATAGAGTAGGGTTCAGGGTTTAGGGTTTAGGGCTTAGGCTTTAGGGCTTAGGGTTTAGGGTTTGGGGGGTGGGGGTTAGGATTAAGGGTTTAGGCTATCTGAGTTGGAGAGCTCCTGGGAAGTTCAGATAAGAAAGTTCTGCCACATTCTGGCACCCACGCCTCCAACATCGTTCTCGGACGACGCGTTGTGGATGGAAATGTTCCCTCCTGAAACCTCCAATATGCCCTCAGCGACGTAGATGGCACCTGAATGGCGCAAAACACCCTAACCCCTAACCCCTAAACCCTAAACCTGGTAAGAGCGCTGAAGCATGGCAAAATCACGCAATCTACCTTGCCAATTCTCAGCATCTCAAACCCCAAACCCCAAACCCCAAACCCCAAACCCTAAACCCTAAACCCTAACCCAAGAAGGCCTCCCGAGGCGTGCGATGTAGAGTTCCTCACTCGGACATCGCCCCCGGACAGCGTCAAGCCGCCGCTGTATACTGCGATTCCACCTGGCATGTGTGTGGCCGATGCTCCCTGTCTAGGGTTTAGGGATGTTTAGGGTTTAGAGTTTACGGTTTAAGATTTATGCTCCTTGCCCGCCTGTCTACACTTCTGGGCAATTTCCCCAAGTAGAATAAAACCCCCTTAGGCCCCCCAAGAAGGGCCCCCCCCCCCCCCAATTATCGGGAAACCTATGCGTATATAAATGGCATATGTGGGCTCCATCTATCTGTACACCTAGAGCTACAACACAAGTGCAACATGTGGCATGGCAGCACAAACCCTAGACCCTAGACCCTAAACCCTAAACCCTAAACCCGGCTAAAGACATGGTCTGCCTCCAAAAGTGGAGGAGCACCCTTCCAAGAGCAAGCTTCCGCCGCGCAAGACGGCGCCGCGCTCGGAAGAAACGGCGCCTGTTGAGCCCAAGGCGGTTTATTGGGGTTTTAGGGTTTAGGGTTTGGGGTTGAGGTGAGGGTTGAGGGTTGAGGGTTGAGGGTTTAGGGTTTAGGGGTAGAGTTTAGGTTTTTTTTGGGTTACCCGCCTAGCTGAGGGTTTCGGGTTTTGGGTTTCGGGCCAAGAACTAACTCTAGGCTTGTTTTTGGGGGGGGGGGGGCTCAGGATCGACCTTTCGAGCCTGCAAAACAAGAGCTTCGGTAGGATTCCCATAGCCAGGCCGGGAGATTGCAACTCCTAACCCTAAACCCTAAACCCTAAACCCTAAACCCTAAACCCTAAACCCTAAACCCTAAACCCTAAACCCTAAACCCTAAACCCTAAACCCACTAACTCGGGATGGAGCCTCCACCGCTGCTAGAGGTGCAGTTGTGGAAGGCTAGGTGGCCACCAGAAATCTCGATGTCCCCCTGCACATGGAGGGCTCCTGCACCACGACTGCTTGCATCGGGTTGCGAAACCTAAACTATCAACCGGCGCTTCGGGTGTCAAAGGAATTGAAACTTTCCTGCAACATCTTCCGGCCCACGTCATCTCAGAGATGTCTAAGTTTCAGGGTTTGGCGCTGGGACCACCCGAGTCCACCTGATTGGAGACCACCGCACATTGTGTTTAGGGCTGGTGTCGGGTCTGCATGGGGCTTGGGGCATCAGGCGCAGGGCTTCATGATTTAACGCTTCGGGCTTAGGGATTCGGTAGCAAACGAGTAGCGGCTCAGCGCAAAATATCCTGCATGTCATACCGAGTCATACCATTCAGCCCGTCAGAGTATTTTTTACCGCAGAAGCCTAGGTCTTGGGCTTTAGGGCGTGAGGCCCGTGCCTCCAGTGAACTCCGCAGAGCAGCCAGCAGCTTCGAAGCGGCCCCCGGACTGCCGGAAGCTGCCTGAAGCTGCACAGCTTTCCAGGGCTTGGAGTTCAGAAAAGCGGGGCTACCCTTATACTAAATATTCCCCATACACTACAATGTCACTATGATGGGGGGTTGGGGAGGGGTTAAAATTCGGGGGAAGGGATTAGCAGCTGCCCCATGGGTGGCCAACCAAGGCATCGCCCGCGCCTTCCGCATACAAAGCTCCACCTCGCGCCGATCGGCAAGCCACAAAGAGCAGCACCCCTCCCAACAGCTCCACGTCGCCGGCAACCTTCAAGGCGCCCCCAAGGCGGTCTGTCGCTCGCTGCCTTTCCTTCCTGAGTCTGGCTTCAGTCCCAACGAATCCCAAAACACCTGCAGCACCCTAATGGATATGGCCCTAAACCCTAAACCCTTAACCCTAAACCCTAAACCCTACACCCTAAATCAAGGCTGGAGCAGCTCGTCATCTTCAGTTGCTTGCGAGTTGTGGCAGCCTTCGAAAGCCACGTTCGCCGCAGGATGAAGGCTGAAATTGCCCCCAACGGTAACACAAGGTTCCTGAGTTTCAGTCATTCCTGCAGATTCTCTAATGACCTAATTGGCATGCCTACCTCATTGGGTCATACCTCACTTACATACATAGTGCATACACACCTGCATACACAAATACATGCACGTCTATATATACACAGAAATTATCGCACAAAACCTTCTTGGGTCGCAGCCCTGCCCAGTTTTTTACCAAGCAACTCTTGCATTGGTGCTGTCTCTCGCTTCTGTTCGCTTTCGTCAGGAAAATGCGCTTGTGCCCCAAAGCCGCGTTTATGTGTTTCCTGTATGTGTGTTCGATGACTGATTAATAACGGCAAAGATCCAAAATGCGTTTCTTCCAAGGCGCAGTGTTGTCGCGTGCGCTTTCATACTAAAACCTCGCATACCTTTCCCTTACAAAGTGTTTCAATGAAAGGCCCTAAAGCTTCAATGAGTTTGTATTCGGCGACATGTTTTTTGGGAAAGGGAAACATGCATTCGACGAGACATACATCTGCAATGCCAATCGTTGAGTCACAGAGAAGCCGCAAGAAAACCATCTTTGGGTGTTGTTGGTGAAAAACTTGCCTGAAAAGGTCCGTCAGCCAGTGATGGGAACACAATCCATCCAGACCGAGAAATACATCTCGGAATTTGTACATGCGCTTGCACGCGCGCTTTCTCGAGGGTAAACCCCACAGACAATAGTCTTTTTTTTCAGATCCAGTGCGCAAATTGTTGCAACATTTAGGGGCTTTCGATGTTCGAAAACCTACACGACCGTAGGGGGTGATCTTGGGAGGAAACCATAGACGCAAACACGAACAACCTTATGCACTTCTCATGCGTGCGTGTACATTCTCAGAGCCAGGGCTCCCTGAAAGCACGGAGAGCCCGGAATCGCACGTCCCCCCGGATGCTGGTGGAGCCCTGGAACCGGAGGGGCGCCCGCAAAAGCACCTCTGCGCCTCTTGGCACCGGGAGCTTCACTTGGGTTGAGGCTATAGGGACAGGTGTGGTTTAGGGTCTAGGGCTTAAGGCTTAGGGCTTACAGCTTAAGACTTCGGGCTTCGGGCTTGGGCTTTGCTGTTGTTGCAACCCCGGAGAACCTCGCAAATTATCTGGGGGCTGGTGATCCAGAACTCTCCTCCAGTGCCTGTAACCGATTTTGCGAATCCGCGGGCCTTCGGCGCTCAAGTTGCAAGGCGCAGAAAACTCCATCTGATCAAGGACCTGGGGAAATCCGTTCCGTGAAATCTCATTCGCCCAGCTGCTTCCAAAGCGCGCAGCGTATTACAATAGCAACCCCAACCAATTGATCTACCGCAGATGGACACTTCCTCCGAAGTGCCCACAAGCAACATCAGGATCTTGTGGGCTCAGTTTACACAACTATTCCATACACAAGCTCATGTGACGTTCTCAGGCAAAGAACGAGCGGAGAGTACCTCTAGCCGTCTGCCCCCTATTTTCCACACATCCCCAACAAACCCTTCCGGTCGGCCAAGACACCTCGTAGGTCCCTGCCAAGCGCAGTATTCCGTCATGGCATTTTGGCAAAGAGCGTTGCGCCTGAGAAGCACGTCGGCGCTCAAGCAAACAGAAACCTAAACATGCCAAGCGACCGGCCTTGTGTTGGGCCGCTCGGCCTCCAGAGAAGAACAGCAAAACTTGTGATGGGATGGGAATGGACGCGCTTCAGGAGTTCAAGCACCCTGCCTTGGAACAAGAAGCTGTCGTTCAAGCTGCTTGCAAGGAGAACGTCAGTGTGGTCCCATACACCTTGGCATGATGTAGCCCTGTTGGAGTATGTTTTTCGTACGAGTACTTTTTCTGCAGTTGTTGGGCCATGCGGCTGTGTTGTCTAAGCCGCGCACGTTCGCCAAGGAAAGTTGGCAAGGAAAAAACAGCCAAGATCCATGGAACTAGGCAGAGAGCCATGCCATTATCAAATTGGCAGGCTTGCCGGCCCCACACGTGGGCACATGAAGTAAACAGACAACAAGGCTTGAGCCTCCAACACATCAATGACGATCACAGGTATACCTGCATGCGCGCTCCATCCTTTCGTCACATGACCAACAGCACAGAGAAATGGCAACACGTTGGGTTGTTTCGGCTGTCTGTTTGTTCTGCGTTTACTTCCAAGGTCTTTCCGCAGCAGAGGGAAAGGTAGAGTGGTACCAGCCAGAAGGGTCACTGAACCAAAGGACTCGAGACAGTAATGGGCAGCCATTGTTGAAACTTGCGTGACGTCGGAACTGACCTCATCGGAACTTCGAGCGGCGGGCTGAATCTTGTGCTAACAGGGAGGCTGCCTTCAACCGGAATTCGAAAAGGTTGCTGCCATTAGCTTCAACACATTACTACACAACAACGGAGCTAGAGCATGGCTAGTCAACCTTGTCTCTCCGAAGCCCCCTCTGCCGAGCACAGAACAACATTGAAATAAATACTATGTTCAAGCCACACCTGGCAATCCTCAAAAACAAGGAGATTGCAAGCTTCTACCTGATGGATCATCGCCCCTGCTTGGGCAGATAGTCGGAGCCAGCTGCAAACCCAGGCCAATCGTCCATCACGCACTGCGGATTGGCAAACTCCAAAACCAGCACGTCGGGCAAGCGCAAAGACGATGAATTCGTAAGCAGGTGCTTCGATCTTTCGATCAGGCGCTTGAGCTCGGATGCGAGCTTCTTGCCGGCTGCTTTCGAATCAACAGTCTCTGCATCAGCGATGCACCTGTTCAGGCGCGCTCTGTTAGCCGATGTAGGCTCAGCATGGCACACGACAAGCATTGATTGAAGGTGCATGGCCACAACCCGCGCGATTGCGTGCCGAGGCCGTCGTTGACGCCGGACCGCCGAGCCCTGCTTCGCTCCCAGTCCGGCCCGCGCGCTGGCGCGCTGACGGCCATACCAGGCGAGCCGGCCACGACGTTGTCCCCACCCGTCATGCAGGTGGCACTTTCCCATTCACAGGCGTCGGACTCCGAAGTCCGCTTCGATGCATGGTTTGCGGCTTGCAGATGGCTTAGCGCGCGGCGTTTGTATCCCACTCTGGATCCTTGCGCTTGACAATTTTGGGAGACAAGCAAACATTTCCCCCAGCTCAGTTGTCAACTTGTCCAGCTCCTGTTCCAATCTGGCGCTGCAGCCGTCGTGAGAACCGTCCCACCGCGAACAATTGTGCTGAGTCCAGATCGCTCACTTTCAAACGTCACCGTGGAGGAGATGGCCCCATTGTTTCTGACCATAACACATGGTCGTTCGAAGACAAGTCTCTCTCGAGAACATTGTTCGGCTGCTGCGACCTCTCGGAATCAGCGTCCGAATTGTGTATACCATTTGGCCGCAACTCAGTGCTCGTCCGATTGTGATTGCTGTAAGTTGGCCTGGATCGCTCCGAATCTGCATCGGATGGATGTGATCCAATGGGTGATGGAGACGCAGGGTTTGTGCGACAGCTGGGCCCATCTGGGCCCTGAGAAATCCTGAGAAACACGTTCCGAATCATTTTTTTTTGCTGCGATCCAGCGCCAGGGCCGCTTACGTCGCCCGCTGGTCAGCCCTCCTCTCCTTTGCAGCCGCGCGGGCACTGGCCGCGAGTCTTCTCTCGCTGCCCCTCGCCAACGCGGCCAATGTTGATGGGGAAGCCTTGGAGTTGAGCGACCTCCTGGGCGCTGCCGCCTCTGAAGCAGCCCCACCCCCACCAGTCCCGAGCCGCTTGCCTCTCCGCACCTGACGGGCCCTGGACCTCCGTCCTCCCCGCCCCGCCCCTCCCGAACCATTAGGTGCACAGGGACCGCGAACCCTCATGCAGCAGCAAAAAGGAGTGAGGGGAGGGGCTGCGCGGGAGCGGCTACGGGCGAGGAGTCGGATGAACTGGGCTGCCTCCTCGCTGCATCGCCCTCCGAGCTCAATCCCGACCACAACGAGCCGGCACCGTGCGGAGCGGAGGAGCTCGGGGTATGTCCGCTCTTTGGCCTTGCGAGCGACGCGCAGGGCAGCTCCGGCTGTGAGGCGTTGGTGACGGCGAGCCTGCCCTGCCGAGTCCAAAGCTGACACGAGCGTGGTGTCGACTGCCAACTGGGCGCCACTCCAAAGGGGAAGGCCGTTGGCGATGACCTCTATGCGCCGCTCGTCCTGCCGTTGGACAACGAGGTTGAGGTCGCGCAGTAGCACGTTGGTGGCGACAGTGGCCCCGGCCTTTCTGCAGACACGAGCGGCAGCTCGCTCGAGCGGGACAGCGCGCGAGCGCAACAAACCCGAGCGTGGGCAAGAAGCACGGTGGTCGCCAAAAGCATCCAAGCGGCGCCGACACGGGCGCAGGGCAGGAACCAGGGGCAGTTGCAGGCGCAGGCGGCGTAGCAACGGCACTCGGAAGAGAGCCGGTTCGAGCCGCACCCACCTCGGGGGAGGTGGGCAAGGCCGTGAAAACTCTGGATGCGAAGGGGCCGGACTGGGAGTCAAGCAGCGCTTGTGAGGGGACGTCCAGCCTCTGTGCCAGGGAGCCCGCGAATGCCGTGTCAAGGACGTGAGACGCTTTGCGCTGCCAGCCTCGAGTGAAGTCATTCCGAATCTGCATCCGATCGCGGCGAGACCGTGATCGCGACGATGAAGATGTGACATCGTCCGCGCGTCGATTTGACATCGGAGTCGATGGGGCCAAATCTGGGCGAGGCGGTACAAGGCCACTATCCATGCTGTCATCCGTAAGTTATGTGTTTGCACACAATCAGGGCTGGAGATGCGATGTCCAGCTACCCTTGGTACATTGCCACCTACGGGCTCACACGTTCAAACAGCGACTGGGAAGATCATGCTGACGAGCGGTTGTTGCTGCGGCAAGCTCGTGACATTGAGCGTCCGATGTTTACAAAAAAAACACACGTGGGCATGGGCCGTTTTGTGGATGAGTTTTTTTGTTTTTTTTCGCGGACCTGCTGCAGCCGTGCCGAGGGCGGTCTCGGCAATGGCCACTTGGATGAAAGCAAGTCGGCGGGACACAAACCAGTGCTACCACACGCATGGGCTGCTTCGATTTCGCAGGCCCGCCTAAACCCGTCAGCCGATTTGTAGGTTGCCACGTTTCTTTTCAAGCAGGATGCGTACATCGATACCTTCACGCGGAAATATTTGGAGGAAATTAGGGCCTATATAGACTTCCATGATACGACACAGCGGCTGCACTAGGGAAACGTGGCTGCGCAATACCCACCCTTTCTCCTTTCGGTGATTCTCATACAAGCAAGTATTATTAAGAATCACCGAAATGGATTGAACTTGCAAACCCGTTTTCACCAACTCACAGCCTAGCCTGCAAAGTCGATCCCTGTTGCTACATAGGACCTCGTGCACACTAGGTTGAGCGAAGGCCCAGCCACTAACGGGACGCAGCCACACGAACGGTTACTGGCCTTCCTCGACTACCTATACGTTCTTACACACGATGCGGAGCTTGCTTGCCCCGCACGCGATGTCGTCGTGCAGGCCATCGAGACCCACTGCCGCATAGCGTCCAACGAGAGCAAAACCAAGCTATTCCGCTTCGCCGGTGGGCCCGCGCCAGGGCTTCACTGACTTGGGGCAAGGGTTGTGTGGCAGACCAGCCCCCCCCTGCGCGCGGCGTTGTCGTCCTGGGCATGCCCCCTGGCCAATTTTTCGCGGGCTTGGTCGGGGAGACGCATGTGCGAAGAGCAGCTCTTGCTCGACCAACTCCCCCGAGCTCCCCGAACTCCCCGATCTCCAGTGCGCTTGGCTCGTGCTCGCCCAGTGTTTACTGGGCCGGTGCTGACGCCTGCCCGTCATTCAGGCCCGCTGCCCGGACGCGGCGCGGACCTGCGTTGAGGCCTTGGAGCAGGCCCGGGAAGACACCGCACCCTGCCTCCGCAGCGCCGCGGACACTAGACGGCTCCAAGCTGAAAGTAGGCTGACTGCCATTGTTGGTCGGCACTGGCTGCTGGTGCCCGCCCGACTGCCCTGGACGCGGACGATGCAGGCTTCGCGACGGGCCTCATGGCTGGCAGCGGCTCGCGTCGCAAACTCGCAACCTCTACTACCGCGACTGCATGCTGCCGCCCTCCCTGACGCCCCGCCGCCAGGCCCTGCTGAGCACGTCTGCGAGCCGTATGTGGCGAGCAACATAACTTACAAGCGGGTTGGCTGCGATCATCTGCCATCGCAGTCCTGCGCTGCCCAGACACCTCACTGATCCGCGCTCCCTGAACACGGCGATGCACCCATCCCGCGCAGCTGGCCCAGCGGATCGGCGGGTTCAGCCTCCACTCGGCATGCTCTCATCGGTTTGCAGCACATTGGGTTTCAGCTTCCGGGTGTGACACTCGGGTGTTTGGCTCAGGTTCGCGTGCATGCAACCTTCCGCCCGTCCGACTCTTATTACCCACACTTGCTGCCCTGTGTCCGAGGATGGATGGCCCAGCACGATGCGGCGTTGCGCGACGCGTGTGCGCGCCAGGGTGTGCTGATATTGGTCCGGATGTGGTGAAGAGACTGCGCGGGGGGCCGTGCAAGACTGTGATAGATTAGGCATACGATGCGCTCCTCACCTTAATTCCCAACGACGCCCCCAAACCACCATGAACCACCACCATCGTTGTTGTGTTGCAACCAGGTCGCGTGGCCGGTGCAAGGGAGGGGTTGACTTCGTGGCTCTTGCCGCAAACATGCAGTGGGCGCCTGATCCCAGCTCGCGCTCGACGCCACCCCGCGCCGACACCCAGCCGGTTCTGCCGTTGGCCGCCGCCGCCCAGAGCCAGGCGCTGCCGTTACCCGGTTGGTCGTCGTCGGTGTCGAGGTTGGCGGGAAAACAAATCTGGACCGAAGTTCCACAATTTTCGCTTTGCGAGCCAGGGCGTGGTCGCCAAATGCATGAACGCCCTTCTCCACATCCGGGTGGGTCACAACGGTTGGCACAGAGGGGCAGTGGGAGGCGCAGGCGGCGGCGCTCCGGGTACCGCTGCGCTCGGGTCGTCCTGGGCACTCTTGTCGGCCACCCGGAGTTCGTTTCCGCATGGGCTGCGCAGCGGATGCGGACCGATGGGAGCTCCTACACGAGTTGCCGCAGCTCCCAGATCTGCAGTGCGTGTGGCTCCTCCTGGCGATATATGCCTCGCTGCAGGCTAGCCATGCGCTACGGACTGTGCCCCCGCATGCCGTGGCCACCTATGCGCAGGCGCACGACGCTGCCGTCTAGGAGACTTTGCAACTCTGCCTTGGTCGATTTGCACGGGGAGCAGGCTGCGCGGCAGCTGCAGTTGGACGACGGGCACTGGCCTGACCCCGCCCGCAGTAGGCGCCGACCCACCGCCCTGCCCCGCCCCCGAACGAGACTCGCGATGGCGCGAAAAGGTGGCGAAACAACGAAAAGTTACGTTGAAGCCAGAAGCCTCAGAGGCCTTGGCATGACTTCTGCCACACGCACTATGTTTGGATGGCTGGCCCCCCCAGTCCCATCGCGTTGCCTAGGCCGAAGGTGGGGAACAAGGCGACCAACTCATGCCGGCCATGTTCTCCCTAAGCTTCGCCCCGCGCTCAGGGACCTGCAGGCTGTGCCTCGACGCGTACGCATACATCCTCACATCGCCCGTTAGGGCCATCGAGCTGTACCAACGCCTCGAGCACTAGTGTGCGCGACCTCCATGTTCTCACTGAGCGCCAGGATGAGCGTCGCATCGAGGTCATCGCCTATGGACTCCCGCTCTGGGGGGGGGGGGGGGGGGGGTGGTTCCGTTGGCTCTTGACACCACCCTTGCCCCTCTGACGGCCGCCGGTGCCCCGTCGCGCGCGCGCGCGCGCGCGTCAGGTCATGCATGCGGCAATAAGAAAAGAAAAGGAAAAAGCCGCACAAACGAACGCACACTATTCATATTCTCACGCCCATATAACTCTTTTGTTTCGGGCGTGCAATTTGTGCGTTCATGACTTCGTTCATATGTTCACACACGGGCTGATAA